AGAAGGGTTTTCCCCATGAATCATAATCCCTCTTGGTCACGGCCCAACACACTTCCTTCCCCCAAGCAGCCACTTCCTCATTTGTCAAACAAGGAGCCACAGCCCTGAGAATCAGAGGTGCCTGTGGACCCATGGGAAGTCGGTAATGGTGGGCAGTGACCCCTGGTGGGCAGAGCTTGGGTGGGGAGAGCCAAGGAGCCTGGGGGCTCCCAGTTCCAGCCAAGGATGTTGGTCTCTTCTTAACTGGGCCAAACACTGAACCCAGTGCCTGAAATTCCACCATCAGAGAGTGATACCTCCTTTGGATTGAGCAGTGCCCTCTCCTCAGACCCCTCTGCTTGGACAAACAGACCCCTGACATTTTAGTAGGTGGGGGTTAAATCTTAGTCCTTCATTTCAGACTGAAACATGCAGAGGATGAAGCTTGGGTGTTGGAAAGATTTGGGTTCCATTCCCAGTTTGTCTCTTAACAGCCTGCGTGACCTGATCTTTCTCAGCCTTGGTATCTGCGTCTGTAAAATAGGGATAATCAAAGCTCTTGCCTCACAAAATCGTTTCGAGGATAAAATGAACAATAAGTAAAGCACTCAGCACCGTGTATGGCGTTCAGTAAACATGTATTATTAATTATTATTACATTTGCTTCCATATTGCCTCCCCTACCAGACTTTGAGTTCCCTGAGAGTAGGGGCTAGTCTGGTTTATTTTCATGTCTCTGGTGCCCAGTTCATTCAATAGAGCTTGGTGTACAGTAGTTGCTCAATTAACACTTGTCAGTGAGGAATGGAGATGCTGGGTACAGGAAGGGAAGGATACAGACCATGAGAATCCACACCTGTTCATTTATTCCACACACATTCCTGGAGCCCCTGCCCTGTGCCTGCCCTGGGCTGGGTGGTGCTGGGACCCATCAAGTGGCTGAGGCCTCCCTGGCTGTGCCTACACCTGCAACCAGGGTCTCCAGCTGCCTTCTCCTGCCAGCATGCTGAACTGAACGCAAGACTGTGCCCTGAGCTCATAGTCCAGTGGGGGAGATAAACCCATCTCCAGCCAGTGATGACCCAGAGGTGGCAGGGTTGGGGTGGATATGAACTCAGAATGAGGACCTGACCCAGCTTGGGAGTGAGGGAGGACTTCCTGGAGGAAGAGGTGTCTAAGTTGAGACTGGAGGATGAATAGGAGTAGGGCAGCTAGAGTAGAGTGGTGTGGCTGCAGGCATACTCCAGGCAGAGGGAAGAGAATGTGCAAGGTTCTGGAAGGAGTTCAGTGTCTTGGACCATAGACCACAGGGTAGGGGTTAGGGGCAGGGGTCTTAGAGGTGAGGCTGACAGACCCCCAGGAGCCAGACCTCACAGGCAGTTGAATGATTTGGCCAGGATGGGTCCCAGCAGGGAGGGACAGCTGTCGAGTCTGGGCTTTAGAAAGATCCCCTGGGCTGTTTTCTGTTGGGAGGATGGGACGGGGTGGGAGGAGACCAGGTAGGAGGTTGGGGAGGCACAGGGAGAAACAGGACGGTCTGGCCCAGGGCTGCACTGTAGAGAGCAGGGAAATCCCAGCTCAGGAGACTAGGGGACTGGTTCAGGTGCCTGCCCCAGAGAAACTGAGGGAAGGAGGCGCCCATGTTTCAGCACCGGGGTAGCTGGGTGCACTCTCTGGGTGCCCAGAAAGTTAAAGACAGGGCTGGAAACTGAGGGCGGGTGGATGCAGGGGCACCACGTGGCGGGGAGTTCGGCTGTGGGACTGCGCGGTCCTCTGCTGCCCCCTCCTGGCTCCGTGATGACCCCCGTCCTGCATGCAAGTCTAACTAGAATGGATTCAGTAAGTCCATACCTAACCAGTGACAGATGACATTTCCTGGGTGATCGTGCTGCAGGGTGCACTCACGTTCACTGTCCCCAAGCCTACACTCCCAACCTCGGTCTCCAGCTGCCTTCTGCCAACACGCTGAACTGAACACAAGACTGTCCTCCCAAATCTCTCTCTTCCTCCCAAACCCCTTCTTCCTTCTTTCTTCCTTCCTTCCTACCTTCCTTCCTTCCTTCCTTCCTTCCTTTCTAAAAACAGTGTTATTGAGATACAGTGCACATATCATACAATTCACTCCTTTAAAGTGCACAACTCAATGTTTTTTGTATGTTCATAGGGTTGTGCAATCATCATCACAACAATCTTAGAACACTTCCACCACCTCCCCAAAGAAACCCTGTCCCCATTAGGAGTCACTACCCATGCCCCCTCCCTCCCAGCCCCTGGCAAACATTAATCTGCTTTCTGTCCCTATGGACTTGCCTATTCTGGACAGTTCATATGAGTGGAATCGTACAGTATGCAGTCTTTCGTGTTTGGCTTCTTTCACTCAGCATAACGTCCTCAAGGTTCCATGTTGTAACATGAATTAATATTTTATTCCTTTTTAATGACCAAACAATATTTCATGGTATGAAATATGAAATATGGATAGGTTGTACTTTGTTTATCCATTAATCTGCTGAGGGACATTTGGGTTGTTTTCACTTTTTGACTATTTTGAATAGTCAAATGCTTCTCTAACATTTGTGTGCAAGTTTTTATTTTATTTTATTTTATTTATTTTTGCTATCATCAAACATGGAGGTGCTGGGA